TTAAAAAGTTAATATTTTAAAAATAAAAATAAAAATCATATTATTTGCCAGAGACCAAATCACGGGAGAGATGGAAAAGAAAAGTGCCATTTGTTTTTATCTACAAAATAAACAAAATTAAAAAAAAATGTTTGAAATTCAGAGCTCCTTTTCACATTACCCAATAGAAGAATCTTATTTGATAGGAGATAGAGGCAGACGCAGGTCAATCCATTTTTATTGGCCGACAGCCTGTCCAACAGCCGAATGTAACGTGATTGGGGGTCCAACTTTTTTATGCGCAGCCGCCATATATATCTTGTCATTGGTTGTGCAATATTCTGATTAGTATGTGCCTTTGGAGTTTGGACCATTAGCCATTGGTAGGTTTAATTCACCAAATTGAATTTCAGTAATTAATAGGTTAGTCTATAACATCTACTTGTTGGACTGTAGCTATGATGATACGAATTATCTTATATTTTTAGATCAGTTATAACCTCATCTGTATCTAGTATGTGCCTGTGGAGTATTTTGGAGGCCTAAAATTATAACTTAATTATTTTGTCCAAGGTTTTCTTTTAAATTGTCAAGCTCTCTGAAAGAATTTAAAAAGTCTAAAATTCTATCTGCATTTCCCACTTTCTTTTGTGGTTTGCACCTAAGGGTGTGGGGGGTTCGAACCAACCTTTTATGCAATAATTAATGTTTTGGATTAATTGATCTTATATCTAATTATTACTAGTTATTGATTTTGGCATGCATATTTGCTGTTTTGGAGTTAGAAAGAAGTCCTTTTCTTCTCCTTAACCCAGGCTCAATCTTCTAGTACTGCATTTTGATAATAGGGTAGCATTTTAGAATCCCAGACTGATCCAAAAAGAGGGATTAATAGTTAGAAAAAGTGTAGGATGAATTGCACTTTTGTTTTTTGAAATAATTAATTTGTCTTCAACTTTGTATTGTTTGTACCCAAAAACAAGAAACTTTCTATTGTTGCTGCGTTACAATTTGCAAGGAAATTTCAATTCATGTTTCAAAAATCAATATATACTTACATTAACTTTAAAAACACTACTTAATTAATTTATATAAAGTCTTTTTATTATATATATATATTCTTTTAAGTTACCAGAAATACAATAAAAGGATACAAAAAAACCTTTGGAATTAATTTGCTCGATCACACAGACACTTTTTACGTGCGAAAGAATTTTTTTGGCCACAATAACTCCAAGTAAGATGGGTTTCTTCCAACAGTTCTCCCAATACCTCTGGTAGTTTGTTT